CCCCCGAGGTCCGCACACACCTAGTTTCCCTTAAGCTCATCATCTCTGTCAGGTTAATCAATAGGCACCGTATGGCAGAGGGTCAGTAATCAGTGTCATCGTGCCTTTAAATCGTGTTGAAAATTTGCTTAAAGCCTGGGCCAATTAACATCGAGATGATGAATGGATGGGTAGATGGGAAGAGCCTGGCGCTCAGGGGCTTTGTGAGAAAGAGATGCTCAGCTGTTGAGCAGCAGACACCAGCGAATAAAATCAGCCATTCATGTGAGCTCAGTCCACCCACTCTTAATGATAATGTCAATCTAGCAAAATATATACACATTGGAGTTGTCATGAGTTCATAAATCAAAGGAGTTTGTCAAAGGCATTCAGATTAACGAGGCAGCAGCAATAACAAGTCAAATTTGCATAGAGAATTGCCCGAATCTCAGTAAATTATGATCCTGTTTTTCATTTGATTATTTGCTAATGTCTCAAGAGGGAGAATGATTATATTAGCATGCAAAATCTACTCCAGAAGTAGAAATCCGAGGTATAGCAGACCAGCACACGATGACAATTAATCAGTTTCTGCATACTAGCATAAACGCGCAAGGCCCAGAAATGAACTCCTTTTTTTATTATTATTTCTCCTTGCTACTGATCCAAATGGTTCAGCTTGACAGAGACTTTATATTGCTTTAACAGTGTTCTGAATTGTGCCTGGAGGCAAGACATAGTTATGCAGCTATAACCAACCTATCCATCTGCCAACCAGATTGGAATTCTCCTATCCAAGGCTTCCATTAACCCCCACTGACAGCTCCAAACAGGATTAAGAATTTGAAAGCATAAAAAATAGTTGTGCTCTTCACATAGACACACGCTTCTCCCCCACCCCCACCTCCCCACACTTGGAAAAAGGCTGTGTCTGTACTCTTTCATAATTAGTGCAGGGCAGAACAGCACCAAAGAAAGCCTCCCCCAGTTGGCAGGGGTTTGATTTCCACCGCGACAAGTGAGGCGGTACTAAAGGTAGCTCTGCCCAATTGGTAGTCCCTGGGAGTGCATTTCTCTGTGTATTATACCTCGTTCCCAGCAGTGTTTTGTGGGGCTCTGTACACAAAATACTGCATGTCATCTCCCGTCAAACGCTTCAGTCTAGGGATTTCGTATGCATTGTAGCATGTTGTGTTTAGTGGTGGAGGAGGCTTCATGGGGAGAGTTAAATAGTAATAATTTCGTAGTGGTCTTTAAGACAACCTGCCATGGAGTTATATTCACTTAATTACAGGCTGAAGTTTTAAATGCAAATCAGATTTAAAAGGATCTCATTACAGACAGTAGCCATTTTAGGAAAAATGAGCTATGGAGGGCAGAGCCCTTTTACAGGAACCTCCTGCTAGAGAGAAATTTTGAAGGTTACAAGAACTATGAGCTTGGGTTTCCTGGCTTCTCTTCCCAATGCTTCCACTGTCATTGTGTGACCTTGGGCAAATAAAAAAAAATATTTTACCTGTCTGTGGAAAGGGGAGGGTGCAGTGTTTATCTCACCAACATTGATCAATTTGTGCTTTGGAGACTTCAACACTTCTCATCTTATCTTGCTTATACTTGCTCAAAAGGAGAGACCCCTGCACGTAAGCGCAAACAGTTTTGGCCAGTCTGACTTTAGTCTATGAAGGAAGGCTTGCCTGCGGGATTTAAAAATTTTCCCTGATGGAAGGGAGTTTGTATGACTTTTCAGCTTTCTGTATGCACTGGTTTACTTCACTTCTTTCACCCTAACAAATTCCATCGTTCCTTTACTACGTATCCAGTACAGTTGCTGCAGATCTTTAATATTCCCAGTGAATACACCCAACTTACCGTCTGGATACCAAATGCTTCTTTCCAGGTCTGTGCCCGAGATGTGCATCTCAGTAACCACGAGAGGGTGCTCAGAGCGGTTCCTCCCTTTGTCTGCCTCTCTTGCGGCCGCGAGCACCACTGAAGTCCTGCTGAAGCAAACCTTATTCTGACCTCACACGTGTTTATCCCTCCTCCCACCTTGTTCAGCAAGGAGAAATATATAGATGTACCGTTTCAGTCGATTACGTTATGCTCTTCCCATGGCCGTGGCTAAGTGTTGCCCTATCAAGTGAAATTCACTTCCACGCAGCTACAGTTAGTCCTGAAATATGCAGGGTCTTGTACCTGCACCTGGATTGATGGGTTTCCTATTCCTGAGAAATGAGCGGGAGTTATAAACATCTGTGCTTTTTCTTAAGTGTAATGCTTTCCAGTCATTCTGTCTTCACCAAGCGTAACTTACTTGCCGACAAAAGTGCATGAGCAGCGCTCCTTTAATAGTCTGCTATCGGAGCTGCTGTGTTGGTGCTGTAGAATGGTGAGACGCCAAGCTGTGAACCACCATATGCACTTGGCAGTCTTTGTCTGGTCTTTGTTCAGCCAACCTCTTAGCCTTGCCACCTATAAAGATAATGAATGCAAAATGGTCCTCTGCTTGCTCTTAAAATTAGATGCTCAGCTTAAAGAAAAAGTAGATAACTTGATGCTTTGCAGTAACTAGAAATTTCAAGATAAGGGCTGACAGTTCACCAGCAGCACTGATTTTCCTGCTTTTTGATGTTTTTTGAGGGAGGATCCTTAATGGCTTTGAAAGGTGAGAAGAATGTAAGACTTCACTGTCGTAGAAAGATTACTTGGAAGGGGAAATCATTTTGGCACTAACTGTACGGAAGGGGGTGGATGTTGAAAAAGCATCCAGAAATAGTAAACAACTACCTCACCCCGCCCCCAACAAAATGCATTTCCTGGAAATGTATAGTAACTCACCTCAGATTCTTACGGTTCTCACACTTGGTCTTTTTCTCCAAAGCACAGAAATTAAAATCCTTACTTAAATTAACCACGTACTAAACTTTCATGAGCAGAAAAGAGCAGCTTTAACGTGTGACCTTCCTTTTTGGAGATACGTGATTCTAGCTTGTAAGTTTTTACCATCACAGTCCCTTCTAAGCTGGATTTAATATAATAACTTGGTCTTGGCTGAGACCTCATATGAAAACTTTTAAGAGCTGGCCTCTTACAGCGATTTATCAGGCCTGTTTAGGATTGATTTCCATTATAAAACCCTGGTTACAGCATCCCAGATGTCATGATGCCTTGCAGGTTCTGTATCTTGTTTAAAAAAAAAAAACCCTCAAAAATCACTAGTTGGTCTGAAAGCCTTGATTTACACAGAATCCTCCCGACCAATTTATGACATCCCAAGTGGGGTCTTTTGGTTGGGGTTTTTTTTTCCTTATCTACGATTTCTCAGCAAACAGCTTCTACCCTTGCCCTGCCTCCTTGCTGTATCTTTTCTTCCCCTTCACCAGACCAGCAAACCTGAGCTGCCTAGACGGTGCCTGATCACGCAGCACTGCAGTGGGGACACGAGCACACTGCTCTTCTGATGGCTTCCCGCAGTCTGCTTGCTTTCTGCTAGCCCTGCTCTGCCACGCTGGCTGTTTGCAGGGCCCAGCTCCTCCTTTGCCAACAGATGCCACTGCTGTCTCCTGAGGTGTTGGAAGCTGGCTCTGCAAGAAGCCGGGCAGAGCCGTGCTCAGCAAAGCACAGGTTATTTGGGGGACGAGGGGAGAGAGGTACAGAATGCAAACTTCTGCCTTAATATACACACTCCTGAGCTTGTCTGCAAGTAACTGGAAAACCACCCTTTTCCTGGCAGAGCTCTCCCTAAGCAGTTTTTCTGTATCTCTTTAAAACCTGTTTAGTTGCTCACTACTGAATGCGTGGGAATGTAGCCTAAGGCTATGAATACTGTGGTGATCAAACTGATTTTAGATGTGTGTGTGGGATTCCCCCAAAGCTGGCTGTCATTACTCTGTTAACGCAGTGGCTGAACCCGTGCAAAGGAACGCTGTCTTCCAGAGTAGCTGACTTTGGCAATGAGGACAGGATTCTCCCCACATACCCAGCAGTTTTCAACCAAATGTTTGCTACAGACTGTGCATGTCCTGAGATAACTATAGCCTGTCTTTACTCTAAAGCAAGTACAGCAAGTTTTAATCATGAGGTTAACAGGACAAAAGGCTCCTGGTAGTCTTTCTTACTCATGCTGGAAAAGTCCTTGTATTTCTTCTTGTTCACCTTCTCTTGTCTTACTGATGCTCTTTCTTTGGAGGTGGCAGCTTAAGTTTTGGAGCATCAGTCTTTCTAGAAATTGTACATGCATGTAGAGTCAGGGGGCAGGAGTTAAAAACATAGCCATAATATCATACGCTACCTACACAATTATTTTTTTTTTAAGGATCTCCTGACAACCTTTCACCAGAATTTAGCTGTATCATAATTTCTTTATGATTTTTGACAGCCACGCAGACTCGGTGCAATTAATAATTGTTAGGCAGATTAAAAGCATAGGGGCACAGAGAACAACAGTTGCACCTATTAACAACCTTTTGTTTTCAACAGGTTCTTCTGTTTTAAATAGTTATTCTGGGGTGTTCAGGAGCACTGGTGTTGCCACGCTGATCCAACCACCATTTCAGCTTTTCAAAGTGGCTGTTATTGGTAGTTTCAGAATAAATCCTCAGAGCACAGGCTTCAGTAGATACCTGCACGGTGGTGCATTGTTGTGTTGAAGAGGAGAAATTCTTTCTCTGCCATAACAAGCTGTTTGGCTTAAAAGTACAAGTTAGCCTCTGGTATATGTATGCGTAAAATACTACAGCCTGTGTAGTACCAATATTCTGTTTCTTTTCTCCTCGCAGAGTAATATTAGGGATAAGAACTGAATTAAAGCTTACTTTCTTTCACAGAATTCCTCTGAGAGAGAAGACTGTAATAATGATGAGCCCCCTAGGAAGATCATTCCTGAGAAGAATTCACTTAGACAGGTATGTGATCAGTCTCTTTAAAAATGCAATAAAACTTTCTAGCTATTTGAATCCTTAAATGCTTCTGGAAGCTGAAGTCTGACTTGTGCTCATGGAAATCCTTTCTTTTCTCCTTTGAAGTCTGAACAAGTCACATTGTACCCAGGAAAACCAGACACAGAGATTTAGCTTTCAGGAGAGTTTGATGACTCTTTCTAAAGAAATCTAGACTTCTATGTAGTGCAGTCAGCTGTGACTCTCTAGTTTTACCTTTCTCCATTTGGTGTTCATCAAGACCTCTTCAGCCTTTTCTTCTGTAATTGTTCCTGTCTTGTTTGTAGTATATTTTGCCTTGCTTCAGATCGAGAGTCTCAGTGTTCTACAACAATTAAGCTTTTCATTGCCCTTGAAGGTAGATTTTCTTGGAGGTGATGTCCAGGTTGATAACCTGAAAAATGACCTGTTCTTGTTTCTTCTACGCTCGTATAAATTACTAATGGGTAGAAAGGAGAAAGGGTGGTCTGATAAAACATAATCTCTCTGCCTTTTATATATAGTAAAGCAAATTTCTTACCAATTCAAAAGAATCACTTTTTTTTAATCCCCATGGTCAACAAGGGGAGTCTGGCTTGTGATTTCTGGGGGATTTAATTTGGGTTTAGTGATTTCAGATCCTTTTTCACCTTGCTCTTTCTCCCCACTACAACCTTCAGGCAGCAGAAGCAAAAATATGTCTGTGCCTCAGCTGCCCAAGGTTGCTGCCTAGTGTATCAGAGTAAAACCATTGATGAACGTGACTTAAGTGAATACCCCAGCCACACATTGCAACAGCTGAGGAACTGGCACATTTCTTTCTGCATCTCAGCTACAGGAGCAGCAGTCTCAGGCAGAGGAATAGGGTGGTACTACACTGCTCCACTGCTGCTATTTTCAAGAGAAATTGTGGGTGAGAACCATAGTAAAGGAAGAAATATCTTTTTGATATAGCGTGCTTGTGCTCAGAGTTGTTGTTTTTGGGGAGGTGGGGTTTTTTGGGTTTTTTGTTGGTTTTTTTTTTATAATGTATTGTGTTAGGAGTGTTTGATTTTTGTGGGAGTAGGTGTCATGTGAAGGACTACATGTGGCTAAGACAGGTCCATCTAAAAGATGTAGTCCATGCAAGTCTTTTAGACAAGAAGCAATATGCTAGGATAATGAACGAGGTCCCAGATATTGCCGAGAAAAATGGCCTTGAAGAATTGATTAAATATGTTACACCAAACTTAAAATGATTCTGGCATTCAGCAACAAACAAGGAGAGCTAGAGGAAGAGGGCAAAGCTACTAGGTCCCTACTGTGCATCCCCAGGATAGCCAACAGGGTCCCCAGCACACCAGAAAACTGGTTTTTTTCATCTTGGAGTTACCTTATTGATGGCAAGCCTTCAGGTTCAACAAGAAAAGGTGTATGTCTCTTCTCCAAGAAAAGGTTCAAATAAGAGATGTTAAGTCAAAAGGAACATGACTTACCTGTTTTGTGTGCCTTCTCATTGCACTGAGTCCATCCTCATGATTATTGATTAAGGAGGAGACAGATATTCACAAGCAGTATTATACAGATCAAGAAGATACAGTTTCTTGAGTTGGGTTTCTCTTCCGTTATATTTCAATCTGCAGAAGTATTCTTAGTGTCCAGGGAAAGCTGTCTTTCCCACAGGTCCACAATTCATAATAACCAAGATGACTAGATATCAAGAATACCCTTAAAAAAACACTTGTACTGTCCAAATATTTCGTACTGGAAATAATTCACATGGACATTGTTTACATCGAAGATGGTTAACTGTGTTTCAGGATACATAGTTGAGATGTATCAGTCTCCATCTTTGTGTCCAGTCTTTACAGGGACAGATGCAGGACAAAATCCTTGGGTCTTCTGATTGCTATCTGGGGCCTTTTGTGTTGAGAACAGTGTTTGTGGGCAAGTTCAAGATGTAGTCTTAGTCTTAAAGCAAGTGCCCTCTTGTCTAGATCGTAGGAGGTGGTTGACTGCGATTTTGTGCCTGTTGTAGAAGGAATTTTGGTTCTTTATATAGGCATAAATAAAGCTGTCCGAGCATTTTGGAAGCTCAGATTGCTCCTCTTCTCTATTAGTGATGAACAAGAAGCATGGAGAGTTTTCCAACTCCAGCTGCAGAAATCAGACAGGTATGCAGCCATGTGCCCATATACTCATAATCAATGAGTAGAGTGATATGTATTGGAAAGATCTGCATCTCCTACAGGAAGGTATGCAGAGTGGCTACCCTGTCTTACATCTAGCCATACTTTGTAAAACCAAGAAGATTTGATCTGCAAATGCTGTCAAAGCAGTAATACACAAAAAGTGCTTTCCATCTTAGTGGAAAGATGCTAACTTGGTAAATATTGAATGTACAGTTTCATATTTTCTGTCCCTCCCTTAAGACATCGCTGTTAAAATTTCTTTATTGGGGAACATGGACCTACATGCACAGAGGAATTGAATGCGTGTATGTGGGTAGAGGAGAAGTCTGTACTTAAATGGTCTTTCCAGTGAAATTGTCCACATATTTAGTACTTTTTGATTAGTTTTAGTAAATTAATGAGATGCATCAGACCACTTCAGGCGAAGTATGACGTCTTGACATGTTCAGTTGCTGACAAGTTTAAGTAAAGGTGCATTACCTTGTCTTGCCTTCTTTGTGGTGCTGGTATGCAGCCTTAGCCATAAATGTTTTCTCAGGTGAGTTTGTGGAACAGACATACCAGAAGGTGGAGGTAATAAGGAGGTGTAATGGTTACTTAAGCATCTGAAGTTGTGAGCAGGGGCTGAAGACACCCATTGCTCAGTGCTGTGGACCTCTTACTAGGAGAAATATCATTCTTCTGTTGATTAAAATGGTTTTTGGAGAAGGGTGTCTTCAGAAGTTTCAACAAGTGGAGCTGTGTCCTTGGCGTGCTGGACGTGGGAGGCACGGCCACTCTTAGGTGCATGAGGGGCAGCAAGGCAGAAGAGGCATGGAGATTAACACTGGGAAAGGAAACAGAAAAAGGCAATGAACTTGATGCTGTTAGCTGGAACAGTGAAAAGATCTAAGCTATGACAGACTTTGAAGTAAGGATACAAAAGCTCAGTTCTTGTTGAGTGCTTGATCTGACAAAATTAAATTTTGAAGGGGTAAACTGAAAATCATAGTATGAAAACAGACTTCAGAAAAAACAATGACAAGTGGCAAAAGTTTTTGGCAACTTTATTTAAGCTAACAAACGAATTTTCACACTGCAAAGTTATAAATTAATTTTAATAGGCTGATCCAGATGGTCCATTTGGAAAATGGATAGCTTGATCTGTTGAAAATTAAACTAAATTTATCTCTCTCATACTTCAAACTGAAGTAAGCGTGAGAAGAGTGCCCATTAAGTCCAGCTCATGCAGATGGACCGGCAGGTCACACATGGGACTAATCTGATTCATTTTAAAAATAAATGCATGAGTTATTGAATCAGGTTCCTGTTTGAAGCCCTGCGTGTGAGCGTGTGAGTGTGTGTGCGCGCCGCCCTTTCAAAGGGACTCGCAAATGCTTCAGTGCCTTTTTAACCTGTGTGTTTCCATTTTAATTCAACTTCCTTGCCAAAAAACATAATTAGTTTTCAGTGCCTATCATTTAGCGTTAGACCCAAACACTAGATTGATTAGGTCAGACATTTGTTATTTTAAGGGCTATGTCTCCATTCTTCATTTATGAAGAACATGAGCTCAATAGTCTTGGGGAGAGAGCCGGCCTTTAGAAACTGGGAAGGGGAAGCTCTCTGGGGGCCCCTCCAGCCTTTTAGCTTCTGGGTGTTTTTAACAGAGCCATGAATGCAGATTTGTAAATTTATTGCAGTGCCATCTGGTTTTTTTGCAGGAACCGTATTATTGTTGGCTCGTATCTGTCTATTGTGGTGGTCACTCCCCGGGAGCTTGCCCTCGTAGTCCTAAGGAAAGTGATGAATAGTGGGGGTCAGCATGAATAGGTCACAGGGCAGCTGTCCAGGGCTGCCCTGAACTTGATTACCCCGCTGGTTTTTAAAGAAGACAGGCACAATGCAGGTTGTTTAAAATCCTCCCTCCCTTCTCTTCGGTGGAGCAATAATGAAGTGCTTTTTGCTGCTGTGGTTTGTCTGTGGGCGAAGGTGCCTTGTGGGGAAATGCTGGCAGCAGCAAGGCTGCCGCACCGTACCTCCTGCAAACCTCACGTTGGACTCTGCTGTCTTTCTGTAAGCTTCCAGATGGAAGTCCGGGGGAAAAAATCCCTGTCTGTTACCCCATTCAAACAGGCCCCTTAGCATTTTCAAGAATTTTCACTCTTACCATTTTGGCACAGAATATTACCTCAATTCACTCTTACGGATTTGAGATCATTTTGTGAAATTACATGTAGCACCTAAAACGTGCTCTAGGCGCTGTTTCAAAGTTAAAGTAGGCACAGTCTGATCTTAGCGTTTAAAGCCAATACACAAGCAAACCATGAGAAGCAGAAAGCGGTTAAAGAAGGTAGTGCAAAGGAAAGGCAAAAAGTAGCAACCGTCAACTGTTTACTTCCAGCTGGTAGCCTCATCCCGCTGCTTAGGGCTCCTCTCCAGGCGTATTTCTCCTCCTCAAAAGTATTTCTGCTGTGCAAAGTTGAAGCCCTCTTTTTGACTGGTGGGGAAGGTTACACGGTGGGGAGGGAGTGAGGGTTCTTCAGCTCCCTCCCTCCGGGGAAGATGCTGCAGTTGAAATTTGGCTTCTGTTGGAGAGCTGGCCGAGGCAGGACGTACCTGGTCTGTGAAGTTATCCTGGTTACCTCTTCTTTTACACTATTAACGCTTGCTAGTAAGGAGTTGCTGGCTGAAAAGCCTCCTGAAATTGCTAGAAGTACATCCTTAGTCTTACTTTCAAGGTTGTTCTTTCTGTTTAATTTTTTTTTTCTTTATTCTCAAACAACATTAAAAAAATAATTTCCATTCCTCTGTGACACATAATGCACGTTAAAAAAC